TAGGTAAACAGAGCAGGGAAGTGAAAGAATACAGAAGAAAGGAAAACTTTTTCATCTCACTAATGCGTGGCCACGTGTGCTGCAGGCAGGGCATGGTATAAATGCATAGGTTGAGATCACAGGTGTACCAACACTTACCTTCTGCCACTCCATCCATTTCTGCTCTGTGCTGAGGTCAGCCTACTTTTGATCTTTGGGCATGAGAAACATGTTATGGCAACTTCTGATTGTTTAATAACCCCAGTCCAAGTCAGGTCAAGTTTGGGAGAAGGACAGGAGAAAATGAAAGTGACAGTTACATCATCATCATGCCATAAATACTAACATATAATATTTTGGTGCCAATGGAACTTCTTATTGATAGAACTTTTCGAAATAAAATGCTGATGAGTTCAACTACCTTTCCAGACATAGTTTCATTTTGATTGAGTACTTATTTTGATGCATCATTTTTCTGAAGCCTTTGCAAAATCCAGACAGCTGTAGAAGCAGCAGATCAGAGAGGCAGCCCAGCAAATTACCTGGAGCAGTGACCTAAAGGGTGAGACAGGCAGGTGAAAAGCAGCTACAAAGAGGGAGGTCCTCCTGGTTGCTATCCCTAGAGGATGTCCCAAGGGCAGGAGAGAATAGGAAGGATTGTATTTCACTAGCCCTGAACTAACTAAAGGTTTGAATATGGAAATGTTTTTAAAACATCTATTGTAGCTGCTGAAAACAATTATGTCTGTGGCATCTGCCAATTCTCATAATTATTTGCTGTTGTTTCAAAAATGTGTATGGGAAATTTTGCAAAATCTAGGACCAATAATCCCATAGCTGACACAGCATGCTCTTAGACTCTTACACCACAAATGTAGTGTGAGATCAGAACAGAACAGTTGGCTACATTAAGATTCAGATTGACAAAGACAGACTGAGGGGGTTTTGTCATCTGATGTAAAAATTTCCATAGGCAAAATTATGAAGCCCTGAATAAATGGAGGAATTCACCCACATATGAGCACTTTCAGAACCCCGAAATGTCCTTCAAGTTCTCCCTTTACAAATCCAGAAGACACAGGTTCATGGCTCTAGGCACCTGTAAGTTCTCCATACAAGACCAATTCTAACCCCTCCAATGCAGACTTGTCTCTCAATTTCAACTCCTATTGTACTGCTTTATATATTGTATTTATCAAGGCACTCAAGTTGTTAGGTCTTGTCACCACTAAAACTCACTCTGCTTCCATACAACCTCTAACACTGTATTTTTTATAAGAGCATGACAAAAGTTTTGCTCCATTGGTTACAAACAACTTTAGAAATATTCAGAAGTTCCCAACTCTACTGTGATATGAACACATAATTCAATAAAATGCCACTGCTTATGCTACTAATAGATTTCAGTGAGTTGTATTAAATTGTGCTAATTATGATGATGTGTGAGGGCACAGAAAAAGGCTCCACTTCTGTAAACAGAAGAGTAGGCGCCTCTTTTTATAGAGAACTGACAGTCAATATATGCTTAGACAAATAATCTACTGCAAAATTTTTCAGCCCACTGTACATAAAGCATTCTCATTTTGCCAGCTTTCCTGTTACCACAGGCCACAACTGTAATATTTTGAAGTCTCCAGTAGCTGCAGTGCCAATACTCTTCTTAGTGCTGAAGGAAAACCAGCCATTGTATTATCAGATTACTACAGAATCCTTGAATGTCAATATGAATGCAAGTTTGTAAGGGCTCAGATTTAGTATACACAGAAAAAGATTCCAATTCCATATAAAGAGGAAGAGGAGTTTGTGTTTAGTTAATGGTTTGGATTTGAGTATTTTCAAATCATCTATTATTATCGTTATATATTATTTGGCAGAATTAAACACAGACAGGGAATCCACAGATGCCTGTTGTATCCTAAAGAAAAAGCATTTTTTTTATCTGCCAATCAAAAGATTTGGGAAACAACAGCCAGTTCCATTAATCTTGGATCAAATGGGTATCTGAAGTTGAATTACAAGATTCTCAAATGCTAATTGTGTAATGATTTTCAGTTAATTTTTTTCCTAAACCACTATTGTTCACTTTTCAGCAGTCTTGTAACTTTTGCATATACCAGATGTCACATGCTGAGTATCAACAAAACAATATTTGATTAAATGCACAGATTTGTACCACTGGATGTTATTAGCCAGTTACAATGTTTGATGGCCATAGATGTACAAAGATTCTCTTAATCTGAGCCTGCAAAGTTGCAGTCTTAGCTCATAGGTATTTTAGAAGTATGCACCCTTCATAAGTAACATGGGATATTTTTAATGATGGCTGAACTTTTGTCTTTACCATTTAAACCTAAAGTATTAGTAGTAGTATGCTTGGATTCCTTAAAGGAAACAGTGCCTCAGGAACACTCATCAAACCACAGGTTTCCAAAAAATAGCAAAGGACAATGTATTTTTGTCATTAAGAGGAGGATTTAATTAAAAAATTTCCTCGGTCTGTGAGACCGTAACTGAGGTCCATCCACCATCAGGTCTCTGCAACCACATTGCCTTTGAAAAAGATCAGGTGAAGTCTGATGATAGAAGTTCAGGGTGGCCATGAGAGGCTTACACATGTAAGTCAATGCTTAAACATCAGACATAGTTTTTACTTTAGTGCATTTTGTTGTCAAACACATCACTAACTACACCCCAATCCTGCTAAGGCCTTCGACATCCATTTTGACTGAGCACAGAATACTTTAGTGCATTTTGTTGTCAAACACATCACTAACTACACCCCAATCCTGCTAAGAGATCCATTTTGACTGAGCACAGAGCTGGCAGTGCTTATCAGAAGATACTACATTTGACTCTTCCTGGTTGAAATGGGAATCTGATTAGGACAATTCCCCTTGCAAACTTAGCACAACAATGCAAAGAGCTACAAGAGAATTCCCTCTATAATAGATGAGACACAATTGATTTCTGGCACTCCACTTCCAGCCTCAGCCAGAAATACAAGATGAACAGGCTTGCTTTCTTCTGTGATTTCAACACGTCTGCTTCCTGTAGGAGCTGGAAGTAGGACATACCATAACAACTGTCAAAACATTTCAGAACCTCGAGCAAGGTGTGATTGGAGCCAGCTTCTAGAAGCAGAGAGGACTTGGGGAGCCATGTGAGTAGGCTGGGCCCTCTCTGCTCTCCACTGATCCAAGCACCAAATGTGACCTCACCAAAGGTGGAGCAGCGTGACTCTCACTCAAACCTCTTTTCTGGCTGGCCCCAAACCTTCACAGCCAGGCTGAAGGACACTTGAGTGACTCCCAAACACTGAGGGACATCCATCCAGGCTGAAATCTTCTGGAAGCCCGTGGGTGCCTCCCCTCAGCCCGCTCACACACGGCGCCCATGGGTGCCTCCCCTCAGCCCGCTCACATCATGGCACCCGTGGGTGCCTCCCCTCAGCCCGCTCACACATGGCGCCCGTGGGTGCCTCCCCTCAGCCTGCTCACATCATGGCACCCGTGGGTGCCTCCCCTCAGCCCGCTCACACACGGCGCCCGTGGGTGCCTCCCCTCAGCCCGCTCACACACGGTGCCCGTGGGTGCCTCCCCTCGGCCCGCTCACACACGGTGCCCATGGGTGCCTCCCCTCAGCCGGCTCACAATGGTGCCGGGCCCTGCCAGAGGTGAGTCCCTGTTTACCGTGGGGATCAGTGAGCTGCTGAGAGAGGGGCACAGACAGGGCACCAGCACTTGTGGAAAATGATGGCAGGGGAAGCAGATCCTTGCACTGAGGCCAAGGGGCTCCAGCCAGGGCCCAGGGAAGGCTGGGAAGGACTGCTGGCCTTCCAGGGAGAGGCAGAGGAGAGCTGGCTGCTGAGAGGAGGGGAGAAGGAGAGGGGACTTGCCCCAAGACAGGAGGAATTGTTTAGAGAGGAAAAGAGGGCAACTCCAAACAGCTCTGTGATGGAAGAGGCAGCTCACTGGTGGGAGGAGGAGAGGTGACGCAGGACTGGGAGAGACATGTCCTCCACTGAGGGAGACATGGGAAAGGAGAGGAAAGTCTCCTAACTGCAAAGTGGGAAATAAAATCAAGGCAGTGTATATTAAAAAACATGGTCACCTCTGGTGGGACAGCTGGGCCCAAGTGGGAGGGTGGCAAGAGACGAGCTGAGAGTGAAAAACAGGCTCCAAACTGGGGTTTCAGTGCAGTAACCTGGCAGGAGACGAAAACACACCATGCAGGGTTAGGGTAAAGTGACAGAAAAGTGGGAACAAAACTCAGAAAAGGGAAGCATTTGGGAGAAGGAAGAATACAAACAGGACAAATATGGCATCTGTGTTGAGAAGGAACAGGAGAATTGGCTACAATACAATGAGGGAAAGGCAGGAAGCTGTTGTTGTGTGCTGCCAACACACGCAAACGTGGCTGGTGAATGGAAAGTTATAATATATATTATTCATCAGGGCAAACTTAATTTTTAATGTAAGAATATTTCTAAGCCTACCTCACGAGAAATGTGTGAAGATCTTTGGGGACTCATGTTTTGTGGTTTTGGTTATTCACATGGGCATTGTGGGAGAGCAAAGCACAGGGAAACAGCACGCTATTTGAAAGCAGACTTCATACTGAGGCAAGGTAACTTTCTCCACCCCCAAGAGGTTTTATATCTCAAAATCTAAAGAACTTTCCTCTGTCTTTCAAAAATGCAGGGTACTTCTACAAATTTCTTCCTTTCTGTCCCAACTGCATAGTTAAGAGGCTTTCTCTAAAATGTGGAGATGGCCTTTGAGAATATTATTGTTACTATTATTTAAAAAAAAACCTCTTTCAAATTAAAAAAACCCCAACAAACCAAACAACAAAAAACCCTGATGAATATTTAGTAAGTAAAATACAAGTGATTTGCCACACCAGTGCTAGATATGTTTAATAATTTTAAGAAGCAGTATGAAACATGCAGTGATGATGTTTTAAAAAAAATTGTCTGTGATCTTTCCTGAGTACCTGTCAATACAAGCAAACTGAATTTTATCCTGCCAAGTACTCTTTGACCTGTCATTCGTGTCTTCCAATTTCCAAAACATTTGCATTAGTCACTCTTCTTCAGGGAATGCACTCCTCTGACCTCGTCTAATCCTCAGTTTCTTGCCACAAGAGCAGCTGATGAAGTGTTAGACCAGGGACTCTTGGTAATGTGTTTTAAGAAGGGAGTTTGAGATCCATATTTCATATAGGTTATACTATAGCACTGAGAGTGGATGGTCAGGTGTTTGATGGAGGTCAGGACATGGCAACTGACATGGGTCAGAAATGGAATTCTCAGAGGCTCCTGGCTGAAACCTGGAACAATTTCAGGAAAAAAAAAAAAAGAAACTGTGTTGCTTCTCTGAAGCAATTGGTAAATCCTCGTGTTCAGTGAGGATACATGCCTGCACTGCACAAAGACAGCCAACAGTACACCGAGAGTTACCATTGCCAGCTTTGGTATCAGAAACACTCCAGCAATGGTGATAAAGTAGAGAAGAAAACTTATCCTCTGGAAAAAGACAGTACAGTAGTAGGTTAATGTGTTTAGATGACAACCAACACATGAGAAAAATTGTTTAGGCACTGGAGCAAAAGGATGTGCAATTTTTTTCACAGTGCTTGCATAACTCTCTTGTGTTTGAAATGTGCAGTAACTCTTGATTTCCACTGCTAGTTCATAGCCTTATTTTCAGTATAATTTCTTCTTTAAACTTGCCAGAGTTCAATGTAGAAAGTTACCTAATTGTGCATTCTCTATTCATAAAACTGTGTGGTGCACCTCTCTTTAGATTTCCCATTTCATCTGATTAGAGCTGCTGTAGTATTTCAAGCATTGCTTTGTTTTGTGTGAAGCAATTTGCAACCCTTTTCTGAGAAACATGTTTTTGTTGGGATACAAGAGTATCTCACTTTGAATTTCTTTTTCAGTTCTCCATTTTTTCAGTTTCATTTTTAAGTGCTAGTTTCTTTGGCTAAGATGGAACCGAAAGCATAATCGGACTTTTTTTCTTGTGTTATTTCAGAGGACATTAAAAATAGATTTTTCTGCTATAAATGTCTATTTAATACAGTTTTCCAGCTGAAGTCTGCTATGATGGTACTCACATAGTGTTGGAGACACCTTCTGAAATCACAAAGACATCAGAAATAGTACAGGGACTGCATTTTTGGCCAGAGTGGCTCTAGGGAGACTGGCTTATAGTGGCTTCTACATTTGCTAACTCCTGAGTTGTTTTAATGGGCATCCTATACACATCTTTTTGCAGAAACCCAGATATAGGACTTTTTTTAAAGTATCCAGTTTATTTAATGAATTCAGCTAATCAAAATATCACATAACATACTAGAATGTTACATTGTATTAAAAAAAGTTTCAGAATGAGTTTTAATGGAGAAGTGCAGGGCTATCCATTTGGTGGATTTTGTACCTACTCAATACAAACTTCTCTGGTAGCCTGAGGTGTTGCTGTAGCATTAAATAGAAACTTCATCTATCCACTGTGGAAAGAGAGACTGCAAATAGATGATCTAAAGGTTTAAAATTAGCATGAGTGTAAAAGTCCACATAGAAATAGCTTGCACACAAGTAAACATACAAACTAGATTTGCACTTCTCAAAATGCTGAAGGATTAAAATTTCTGCACCCCTGTGACTGACAATCAGCTACTTTGCTAGTGCTTTTCTTATGCAAACTCCATCACAGACTATCTGTAAGAAAATCTTGTGATTCATTTACTGCTCCATTTCCACCAAAGTAGATACCTGGGTTCATAAAACTGTCTGCTATGTCATAATTTCTGCAATACAAGACAAAACCACCATTGTGGCAAATCCATTGCACAACAGGATCCTGGGAAGTATTTATGAATCTCCTGCCAAACTGCTTAAATCATGACTTTGTTACAAGCATCAGATGTTTATAATCTTGTTATGATACCGAGGCCTTATACAGCTGTTTTTTTATACTTTTGTAGCCAGTTTAAAGCCATCTGGTGCACGTATTGCCAGGTATACATGATTTTGTTGTTGTTGTTGTGACTACACATGCACCCTCAGCAGTCTCATGGTATTTTCTCAGTGTGACAGTGCAGTTGAAGTTAAACCATGTCATTATTTATTTGTACACGGTGACTACATATGATGTTCCTGACAGCCACATGTGATAATTGCTGTTTTAGTTTGTCATGTCTTCACATTCAGATCCTGAAAATTATATAAAAATGTTTGTTATGTTCTCCAAATAAGCCAAATAGTGATATGCAGCTTTGGATATCTTCTGATGTCATAACTTTTACTGTGCTTTTATAAAGCCCAAGTCTTTAAACATAACAAATAGGTATAGGAACATATGATTTTTATCTTTTGGTTACTTGGCAAAAAGCTTGCATTTGGAGATAATCTTATTAAAAGACTGATGATATATGGATCTCTATTTTGCCATTTATTAATTAAAGGCCATAATTTACTTATGCTTTTTTAATACCATGTTATGATTGGATCACTCTAGTATTTAGAAGCTGCAACCAAAATCAAGGCTCCATTAACTTCAATTCTGAAAAATCACACAGAAAAAGGAAGCTTCTGCTTGGCAATTGAAATTAAAGAATCCTCAGGGACCAGGGAGGGAAAGAAGGACCTTTCCTGACTGACTTAATTATTTTTCTGTAGCAGAATGACTTGTTCAAGGTCAGAGAAGAATTAAATTTCTGTATTGGTGAGCAGGTTGAAAAAAAAACAAACAAACAAAACAGAGGTTGTTCAATCTTCACTTTAATGTGCAGGTTTTTTTACTAATATCCTAAGGAACAAAGTCTTCTGTGACCATGTTTGTGACTTTCCCTCACTTTTTTCCCTCTCTATCCATAAATTTTAGCCCAATTGATTAATAAAGACAAATCTGAAAGAGGAATGAAAGTCTTAAATAGGTTTGCCTTTCCATGAATTTTGTGGAAGCAGATGCCAGGAGAAGGGAGGAAGAAACCACCTGCATGGTCTGTCTACAGTAAAGTGGCAGCTCGAGTTCACATTCACAAGACAGCACCATATATATTCCTAACAATGGGAAAACTTATAGGATGTCAGGTCAGCTCTCTTCCTATTTTGCTATAAGGCTCTGGAGCACAATCACAGCTCTCCATGCAACCTACACTGGTTTATTTGACACAATGTGGAGGTGTTGTTGGGGACAAGTCCTGGTGCAGAAGTGACAATACTTTTCTGCAGCTTCAGGACTTGCACCCTACAAGGCAAGGGAGACAAACTGAAGGCTGGTTTGCTCTAGGATGGTGTTATTTCTTGGTGCAGATCACAGAGGCAGCATAGATGTAATCAAAGCAGAACTCACACTCTTTAAACAGAAGATGCTGATCACAGGAAATCTGGGCATATGTGTAGATGTGTCAGTTAGGGACATGTTTCAGTGATGGAATTAGGGTTAACGGCTGGACTCAGTCCTAAAGGTCTTTTCCAACCTAAATGATCCTATGATTCTGATTGTGGAACCATTTGTTTAATGATAATGTTGCTCTTGAATACAGGAGGGAGGACAAATTCCTTGGGGAGGGCTTTGGAAACCTTTCTCTTAAACTGTAAGTCACTAGATTGTTTCTTTTTAGGAAGGAATTGGTACATCTTGAATCTTTGATTTTATGCTAATTTTCCTTCATATGGTCTGTTTCTGTTAAGAACCTAGACTGCCTGTAGTGTGTCATGGTAAGCAGCATGTAGATCAGTGCCATGTGTTAAAGCTGGAAACTTTCTTCAATTCTTTTATTTTTCTTTTTTTTCTTGGTTTGAGGCAGCTTGTATTAAATACTTTACCCCTCCCCTTTTTTCTCAGTTGTATGGTTAGGAATTGCTTTACTACTTGTGTATCCTGTGGTAGTGTTTAGTATTAGCTGGATGCTTGGCCATCCATACTTCCCTGAAACCTAACACTGGTTTTCATCGATGGGGATTTCCTGGGTGCTCACGTGCCTTTCTTTTGCCTCTTCTCTCCAGATCCACATCCAGGGTAATCACACCAATGTTCTGGTATAAGCTGTGCAGTTTAACTTCTCTGAGACTATTTGGCCACAGTCAAGACATTTGCTCAATTATCTTGCAGTGAATTTGAACACAAGTGTCAAACATGGTTGGCTATTAAGTTCATGTCATTTATCATTCCTTCTAAGGAATTCCATCTTGCTATTCCTGACCAAAGAGTTTTTCAGTATAGTGGGCAGAGTTTTCAACCTCAACATAAGCAATTTATGTCTATTCTTTTTTTCTTCCTCATTGATGTGGAAGGAATTATGTGTCCTTATAATTAAAAACATCAAACATATTCACTACCAGCTGAATTTTGTTAGACTAAGTAAAACTCTCCTCAAATGATAGAATCTTAATTCCTCTGATCTTTCTCATAACCCTGTCCACACTTTTTTTTGGTTTTTTTTGGGAGGAAGATTAAACTGGTGGATAGAACTGCATATAATATTCCTAAATATATCTTGCCAGGGCTTTGTATTACATCACAACTACCTTTCCTGCTTCTGGAAATTCCCCATGTAGTCTATGAAAGGTCATGCATCCTATGTCTGCTTCATGATGGTTGCTAACAAGCCTGCTGTGATTGCCTGGTTTTACTTGAAGGGTATTTTGGTGAGCTTTCTGCTTCTTTAACAATGTTACTGAAGTTTCTTGTAGCTAATGTTTACCTGACTGGAGGCACCCTGGCTAGGCCATACAGGATGAATGCTTTGAGGCTCACCTCTGGGCATTAGGGATGGGACTTGCATATTCCAGCTACTTTTTGGAAGTGGAGTGTGTTGACAGTCTACATAAGGCAAAGTGTCTGTCCTTTGCCCCAAATCTTTATCCATTTTAGCACTGTAAAGAGCTTAGTCTTAATGAAGTTGTGGGAAATATATTTAAATCCACTCTGGACTGCAGCACCATATACCTTGCGACAGGCAGCAGTGCTGACTTCTGCAACTCCTGTCCTGCCCCTCTGGCCACAGATCCAACTTTTGAGCAGGTCTGAAATGTTTTGGTGGGTTATATGTTTGTTTGGTTTTGGTTGGTTTTTGGGGGTTTGTTTGTTTGGGTTTTTGGGGTTTTTTGAGTCCAGATTAATTCCATGTTCTGCTTCAGTATTGCCTCACAATGGTTTGAACCGACAAAAAATGAACGAGTGTTTGGGAAAAGATGCAGGACAAGGATGGGATCACGGAAAGCTCACCTCACCACTGTGAGAAGCTCTGTTGAACCATTAACTTCAGTCATCACCACGCCTAAGGACTGAAGAGCTGTATGAAAGACACTAAGTGGGGATATGCGAGGCTGCTTAAACGGAACCAAGTCCTTCACTGGCAGCGTTTATATCTGGTTTAAGAGGTATGAGCTGAAGCAACAGGCTTATGCTGAAACTCCTAATCCAGAGCAGGTAAACTGAGTATAAAAATGTTCACGGATATTTTCTACTCTTACCTCAATGGTGAAATAAGCAAAAATGACACTATCCTAAATTAAAAGCATTTACGTCCCACAGGTCATGTAGAGCGAGATGAAAACCTCGGTATTGTTTGAGAGTAGCCGGACCTGCGAGTTCAGAGCTGCTGCACCGTAGCCTAGAACCAAGACGAGAAAAATCCCATTTGCAAAGAGACGAAGCCTACTACAGATCAGGCAGCATTTGGACAACAAAATGGCTGTGGTTGTGGCTATAGGTGATCCACAGGAGCGCAGATGGAAGCAGGGGAGCGGGGGAGCCCCAGCCCCGCGCTCCGGGTCCGGTTCGCGGCCGCGCCGGAGCGCGGAGGGGCCGTGCCGCAGCTACCGAGAGCCCGTCCCAGGCACTTACTGCGGGCGCAGCGAGACGCGGGGCGCGCAGCCCCGAGGCGCACACGGCCGGCGGCTGCGCCTTCCCGGCGGGGCTCCTCGGGCGCGGGCCCGGTGCCGGCGGCGCGGGGCGCAGGCGCGGGGGACGCGGGCATGCGCGCTGTGCGGCGGGGAGCCCGATCTGATAGGGAGCAGGGGCTGACACTACCCCCGTGTGGGCGGCGGAACGTCCCGAGGATGACGTGCGGCGTTCTCGAATCCCGTGTCTCGCTCGCTCGCTCGCCGCCGCCGCCGCCGAAGGAAACGGGAAAAGCAACAAGGAGGCAGGAGCAGGCGCGGCGCCATGGCGGCCCTGGAGCGGCCCGTGCCCAGTCCCGAGGCGTTCCTGGGCCAGCCCTGGGCCGCCTGGGTGCGGGAGGCCGCCCCCCCGCACGCGCACGGCGCCGCCCCCCCGCACAGTAAGGGCAGGGACCGGCCGCGGTCCGGCTCCGCACGCCGCTCCCCCCGGAGCGGGGCCGGGGTCCGGCCGGGCCGCCCCCCCTCCGCTCCCTTCCCTCCTCCCGCCGGGGCCGGGAGGTGCCGCCCCCCCGGGCGCTCAGCTGACGCTCGGCCGAGCCCCCGTGCCATGTGTGCGGGAGGCGCACGCCGCGCCGCGCCTGCCGTGCCGCTGCCCCGCGGCGCTGGGCCGGCGCCGCGGTGGGGGAAGGGGGCGAGGGGGAGGATGCGCGGAGGGGCCGGAGGATGCCGCGGGCGGGGAGGGGGGGGCGAGGGTGCTGCCGCGGGGGGCCCGGCGGTTCCGCTCCCTGGCAGATGCTCCGACCATTGTGCTTTTGCTGTTGCAAATAGAAACACTGCTCACCTCCTCACCTCTCCTCCTCCCCTCGCCAAACAATAAATGCACACCTCAGGGCCCTCGGCGCTTCCTGACTCTGCTTCTCTTCTGCAGGTGTAGATCTGGAAGAGACTGGAAAGGAGGGTGGAAAAAGCAGGGAGGTTATGAGGCTTAATAAAGAAGGTAAGTGGATAGTGCTGGCACACCTCTCTACCTGTCTGTCTCTTGGTGGTTGTGAATGACTGTGGTTTGGCCTTGACAGGGTGGTCTGATAGCATATGGATTTCTCTGCTGTGAAGAACATTTCAGGGTTGGATACATGCAGATGACTGTCACTGTGTCAACTTCTTTTGAAGTAAGGGTATAACAGGTGTATACATGCAACTGACAGAGGTGGTAAAAGATAAGACAGTTTTGAGGCACAAGACAGCTACACATCAGTGGCCATATTGGATTTTTTTGTGGACCCTGTCCCTTGGTGCAACATTTCAGTTGCTCATGTGAAGATAAGCATATAAACTTTAAACGTTATATTATTATTAGCAACTTAGTGAAGATGTTTTCCCTTGCAGTGAGAAAGGGCTTGTTACAATCTTTGAGTTCTTTCACTTTAGCTCAAATCACATTTTATTCTTCATTTGCACTGCTGAGTGTGATCTACAGTCAGCTGAGCAGCCAGCAACAAATACTATCTTAGGTTACACTAACCCATGCATACTATGCAAAACCAAATAAAATGAGTCCTTTGGACCATAAGTTCTTCTGGTACCGTCAGTGTGAACAGGCAAACTCCAGGTTAGTGGTATTGGCCAATATGCCAAGCCTGTCACAGCTCTGTCAGCTGTGAGAGGAGAAACATTTTGTTTTTGATGTGTGTCATTAACATCATGTTGAGGTAACACCTAATGCAACTAGTGAAACAGTTCAGGATGCTTTTTCAAGTAGCTTTGTGTTTGTTTCTGTTTCGTTAAGAAAGCACTTTACATACACAACCTCTCTGTCTTGGGAAATACTTCTTGGGAAGTCAGCTCATAATGAACGATCCCCTCATAGTGAAACTTTGGTGTCACTTACTCATGCTGAGAGAAATCCCGCTCTTACCTGTAATGTCATAAAATATATTCTGAAATGATGTTACGTTTCTCATTACATTACAGTTGTCATTATGCGTGCGTTCGATTTTGAGCATCTTGGCAGCTCAAAGGAATCTTATGTTTTCTAAACAAGCTCTTGAAAAAAGAATGAATTAATGAGTAATGTAGATTTGTGTGATAAACTATAAGATTGCATGGAGTACACATTAAAGTTATTTAAAATACCATAAAACTTCCTTTTTGAAAGATCTTTGCAGAGATGCCAATTTCGATTGTGTTCCTATCTTGATTTTTACGTGCCTGAACCTCCCTATTTTGTCAGCCCAAAGATAAGTTAGCAGCAGAACTGGGATTTTCATGTAGCTATTTATAGGTAAAAGGTTGAAGGCTCTCTACATTTATCAGTAATGTTGATTCAAAAATAATTGAACAAAATTTTTGCTACTTCAGCTGTGCCTTCATAAGGAGCTTAATTTGTTGAGATAAAATGTTTTGTGCACAGAAGTCCTTGAACACAAATTCACTCTATAAGCACGGGACATAAAGATTGAAGCATCTCTACTCCTTAGTTACACATAATATGCAAATTGTTTCCTAGAAAGGTTCAGTGTAAATTATCAGTTCTAGTCTTGTTTGGTTTTTGGGGGGGTCAGAGACTCCATCAAAGGAACTCTATTTAAACTCACTAACCAGAAAAATTACTTCCAAACAAAGCATAATGTCATTGCTGACATTATGATCCTGACAGGTGTGAAGCACTTACTGGCTTTTATAGTACTTATGTCATAATACTGTGTAAAAAAACCCCAAAATTGACTTTTATATTTAGAAAATAAAAAGCCTTAGGGATGTTATTGCTTTCAAGTAGTAACTTGTGTTAGATCATTTAGAAAGAACTTCCATGAAGTTTGAATAAATTAGTATGTATCGAAATATTTCTACTATATTCACTTAGGCAGTCTTTTAATACAGGTGTTGTCACCACACCCATCTTTGGGTCTGAACACCCACTGTAAATCTTCCTTGGGCCCCACAGTCCTTATTAGTAAAGGTGGGGGAAGATTTCATGAGTTAGGTTGGTCTGCAGGAAACATTTCTCATGTATTTGCAGAAATGCTTGTGTTTTTACTCTGACCTTGCTTGTGTGTTGTGTGACATGTTGAGTTTTTTTGCCTGCTTTGTTCATAGATGAGGATTGTGGTTGTGATAGGTCTGAAAACAAAACCCAACTCCTTTTTTTACAGTCTTACCGACTTGAGTAGACCTTTTTGATGGCATCTGTGGTGCCTGGAGATTGTAAGTGGTGTCTTAGAAAAATCAAATGTTACTTGTAACCTATTTGTATCAAGTAACCAGGGGCAACAGATGGACAGGATTTTAAGTATCAAAAATTACTGTCCTGTTTGATAAAGATAGTGTAAAACCTGATCTCTCTGCACTTCTTATTTGCCTGCACTTCATCATCTTTAGTTGATGTGACCATTTTTATGCAGCCATTCCTTTGTAAGCAGTTTAGCAAGAAGGCTGTTTAGGTGAGTGAAACTGTGTGCAGAGCATGGTGGAAGCTAAAGAGTGGGAATATGTTGGTTTTCAGACCATGACAAGGTGTTTCACTTTGGTTTTATAGAAAAACAATGATGTTAGGTGGCAAAAAGTGCTTCCAGTTAACTTGATCCCTGCTTTGCTACCTCCTTTCTAGTTGTGTGCCATGTGTGTTTAGAGTGGTGGGCTGCTCTTCCTCTCTTTGGCCCAGGAGGGGACGTGGGAGGCAGCATTTCCTGGAGGTGGGGGGTAGGAGCACTGCCTGCCAAGTCTGTGCCTGCCCAAGGGGTTGCTACTTGCATCCCTGGGCAGAGGGCTCACAGTCTGACTGTGCTGTTCATGTCTGTAATGCAAGAGACACCGAGGCCATGTGCCCCCTGTGCCCCATCTTAGGGGTAAAAGTAAAGGGACGTGGGAGGCAGCATTTCCTGGAGGTGGGGGGTAGGAGCACTGCCTGCCAAGTCTGTGCCTGCCCAAGGGGTTGCTACTTGCATCCCTGGGCAGAGGGCTCACAGTCTGACTGTGCTGTTCATGTCTGTAATGCAAGACACCGAGGCCATGTGCCCCCTGTGCCTCATCTTAGGGGTAAAAGTAAGGACACAGAAGTATTGCTCGCTGCTTTCCTTTATTCTGCAGTGTATATGTAGGCAGCATAGAGGGAGAGAAATTTCCTGAACGTTTGTTCAGTTTTCTAGACAGGCTTGCTTTTTGCATGCTGACACTTACTCTGAGTTTTCCTATAGCAAATGCATTCTGTCCATGGTTGACTTATACTGGCATGTGGATTTGTAGAGAGGGGATTACAACGTTCCAAGCGTTCACAGAAAACGAGAAATTTTATATATAAATGTTTGTGCCAGAAAAGAAACCCCAAAACTTATCTACTTATCTAATCAGGAAATAGAAACAGTATTGTGTAACTTATCTGACAAATCACTACCAAGCAACTGGCTTAGCTAAAAGAGGGGTTATCAGAATTAGAGCAGCATTTAGAATTTATGTTGAATTTTAAAAGGTTGAATGGCATATTTGAAGAATTGAAGATTTTCTTGCAGATAGCAGGCGTAGTAGAAGAAGTCTGTATTTGAGAGTTTGTGTTCTGTAAAACATCACAGTTACTATGTGCCTGAGGCAGGTACAGTGTTCTGTTATTATGAGCCATAACCTGTAGATGATTATAGATTAATTTTGGAGGCTTGTGTTTCACTTTATACAACCTCTGAGAAAATAATGGAAGAATGGGATTTTTTTTGGTTCCGCGTACAGAACTTGTATTAATAATTGGTTTAGTAATGTGCAAGCTAGGAGTGTTTGTAGATAGACACAGGCTGTAAAGGAGCAAAAGATATCCTTTGAATCTTGGTGAATTACAGCAGAGTTAAATATGACCTGTGGGATTTAGATCTGTGTCTGGGTACTTGGTGTCATAGTCAATTTCAGTTTCCCAGTTCCGTGGATTTGTATTATTGAAGTTTCAATCTGATGATGTGTGTGTTTTGTCTTGGATAATCTTTTCACTAAACATAGCGATTCATTATTGTTTGACGTTAAGAATGTTATGTAAAAAAATTCTAATTGTTTTTCTGATTTTATGTTATGAGGTTTTTGTTGTTCCACACCAAACTTGACCATTTTACTTTATGA